ATTTCTTTATTGAAGCTGAATATATATTTTTCGGATCTTTATTTTGAAAGTCAGTCATTTCATGTGAGAGTATGTCATTAATAAAATCATTATTTAGCAATTCTGACCACAAGCCCACGTCAACATATTTCTCAAACTTAATATTCTCTAAATTTCTTTCCGCCTCGGTATTACCGTCCTCTTGCTGAACACCAATATAGTTTTCAGTGGGATCAGAGGGTTTCTGGTAGTCAAGACAGTTATTAGTAAACTAAACAAGTTTGTTCCTCTGACGACGAGAACAGAAGTGCGGAAAAAAAAACAAAATTACGCCGGGCGTTAAGCGGCACTCCGGGAAGTCCCCCGTAATAGACGCGAAAAATAGACTGACCAAAAACAAGCGACAGGTAATTCCCCGTTCCATTCTATAGACGCGCACATGCATGGGTTGATTGATCTCAGGGTTGCCAACCTTATAATATTTTTTTTTATAATATTAGATATTTTTTTAATTCAAAATATCACCTATTGTTTTCAGTGGGGACTGGGGCCCTTTGTATCCACGGGGCCCTGGGCTGCAGCCCAAAAAGCCCTTAAGTAGATCCGCCCCTGTATATATATATATATATATTATACAGAGAGAGAAAGGCATAATTCAGTAATCTGGTAAGTGAATTGATATATATGTGATATAAATAGTTGTAAAAGATATTTCGTGTTAATCAATATGTTTTAAGTTGTTTTTAATGCTTTTATGTAATTTTAATAAACTAATACTGCAATTATTTTATTTTAACTTTGTTAACTACTGATTGTGTGTTTGCAAACTAATTCCTTGAAGCTAACTGGCTTCTTAATCATCATTATTTTCTCTAACAGACTTTAACATTTTCCTTTATTCAATTGCATATTAGGAGGAAAAAGTGCATGTTCTTTTAGATTGTTCAGTGAATATTCCTCAAAATACTTTTTACAGTTGTTTACTATATTATGTTGTTTGTTTCGTAGATTTTATTAGATTATCTTGGTAAATGATAAGATACTAGTCTAGTGAAATGTTTCTGATTTCAGAAACCAATCTGATCTTGGGAAATCAAATCTTGACAGTGAAAATAAATTTTATTCGTTAAAATATGTAGTACAATTAAACTATTTTTGCACTTAGAAGTGTAAAAATATGAAGAGAACTTTAAAATGGGGCATATTTTTTTTAAAACTATAATTTTGATGCAGATTTATTGATAATGTTTTTTAATTGTCATAATAATAAAAAACTAATAATCATGATAAAATTTTATGTACTTCAGTGGATTAAAAAAAATGGAATGTTAAAAAGCTGCTTGGTCAATTTCTAGGAAATCTAGACTTTGGTTTATTTTTTGGGTTTAGTTTAAATGAGACTGTAAGAGTTAGGTAAAATTTTATAAATGAAGTTTAGGAAACTTCCAGATCAAACCTTAAATGTGACGATTACTGCGAGCCTTGCAAAATGGGTTTCTGATTTTACTAAATTTTGGGCATTTGTTACATTTTTATACTTTGAAATCAAAAATTTTTTGGTTACTAGGTTGAAATATTAGCTTAAAGTTGAAGCAATAAAATTTTGCTTAAATATAAAAAAGTCTGTAGCACCTAAACGTGAAAAAGTCAAACTTTGTTACTTGTTAATTTTTTCCCCATTTTTAACCTTTTTATTTATGTTTTTTTTTAAAAAAAAAACTAATAGTATTCTCTTTCATCTGGAATACTTTCCTCATGCAATTCTTGCATCCTTTTTGACTTACAATACCATTTATTCCAGCATTCAGTTTTCAGAAGTAATTCTAAAATTTAAAAATGATTTCATTTATTTTAAAATAAATGAATTTATTATTATTATTTCTTCATCAGTACTCAATTTTATTTTATTTTAAATTTAACAGGAATTATTTAAAAAAAAAATTCTATGATGTTTAATAGTTTTTTAAGTTACTAGTAATAAAATTATTGTGATATTTAGACTTCTGATGGCATACACACAATCATTTTTACCAAAATAATTAAAGCTGTAGATAATTTAAAGTATTAAGTAAACTGGGTATCAAAAGATTAAATTTGCACAATCAGTTATGATGATTATTAATATTGAAATTAAATAATTTATATGCAATATTTTACTTTTAATGGTGAGCTTATCTCAATTTTATTGATAAAAATTAATATGAAGTGCCTGTTTTGAAAATAATAATTGCCTTTTGGAAAAATAATACTAAATGTTTTGTAATGAGATGAATATATCATACTTTTCTCAGTAAATTTTATTTTGCATTATAAACATTCATTTATGATAGCATTAGTATTTAATCCTTTAAATATCATTTTACACTTCCAAAATAATGCTATTAATTAATCCTTGCAAATATTTTTGTAACTGCAGGAATTGTTCAGACTTATTTATCATTATTTTGAGGATAAACAAAATTTATTTTTAAACACACTTATTTTGAAAATATTAATTTTTTTTTAAATTAAAAACAATCAATTGTATTGCTGCTTTAAAAATACAGAAAATATTTGCTATGTGTTGAAAATCATTTGCTATGTGTTGTTTGCTATGTTTGAAAATCAAAACAAAATGTGATCAAACTATGAAATATGTGTTAATAAGATTTTATATAAAACATATGTCAATAAGATTTTAAATTTAAATAATAATTTAGATATTATTAACTTAAATAGTTAAGTTTTTTGTGAGTGTATTGTATTTATATGGTTATGCTTGTTGATAATACACTTAACATTTTAATTTTCTTTCATATTTTTCTAAGTATGTTTGACTCACCCTTTTCTGTTAGCAGGTGTATTTTATTTACTCTAATTACAGATGAACTGCTATTTACTTAAATATTACCATATTCTACTTTTCTGTATTATGTGCAATTTCTTGTATTTGAAAAAAAAAATTTAAAGTAAAGAAAAAGTTTTAAGTCCAAATTTATTAACTTAAGATATGATTATTTCGTTTGATGCTTAAATACTATTGAAAAAAAAAGGGTTCATTATTTAGTTAAAATATTTGTGTAAATTACAAATATTATGTGCCTTATATAGGTATTCCTAAGTGCCCTGCTGTTGTATCTTTTATTATTCAAGAAATGTTTTTGATAATTGTTGCATATTTTAACATATACAAATAAATCTTAGTTTAAGAAATTTAAATCTATTGTCCTGGTTTTGCATTGCCTTACTTATTTATTTTGTAAGTAAATGATTAAGTTATTTGAGTCCCACCCATACAAATTAGTAATTTTTTGAAAATTAGCATTTTTGCTTGTTAAATTGTTTACCTGTGGCTAACTGGTGACCAATAATGTCTTAACTGAGTCAGTGACAGAAATTTCTGTTTTATTGGTGTTACTCAAGGAAGTTTCTTGCAATAAAAAATAATATACTCAGTTGTTGGCATACAGAAACTGCTTAATAAGTTAAACTGCTCAACCTGCATTTATGCAATGTAATTTTTTAGGTTTTTGTTATGTGTTTAATCATTTAGATTATTATTTTTTTAAATTCCTTTTCCATTGTGATGACCATTTTTTTTTTCATTTTTTAAATAACATAATTATGTTATATATTATGATAGTTTCATAAATATATCTTAGTTGTAACTGTGACTATAAACTGAAATGACTATGTATGTTAACATATGTATCCAAAGAAGAAGAAGAAAAAAATCGATCAGAAAATTTATTGTTTTGATAATCGAATTTTCACATACTAAGTGCCAATTTGAAAAGATTGATCGCAAATAGGCAAGTGAATTTGATCAAACTATTATTTCACCTCTTCTCAAATGGCGAGAGCTAGGTGCTTATGGAATATTCTTTTCTTATTAAATGAATTAACGCGATAATAAGTTTTTCATTGTGATTGTAAGACAGCAGATTATTTAAAACAATAAATAAGTCTAAAATACCTAGTTTAATCCGTTTTCTGTAGAAATAATAGTGCAGATCCGTAAGATACTATTTTGGACAGTTAAATATTGTGATTATTGTAACAATCTGTATTAAGTAAGCGAGTGACGTCGTCCGCTTGAGTCATACGAGTCAGTTCATCTTCAATTTCTTCCATATCGCGATTTAACTAGTTTTGACATTTAATTTAATGAACTGGTTAACCCAAAAACTTTTTTTCAAAATTTACTTCACAAAACCCCTTGAATGGCACTTCGATGTGTCAATCAGTACTATGACGGCCGGAAAAAGTAATTATAAGTGAATTTCAGTCCGTCCTAACCTGGATGACGCGAGAGCAATCCCAATCTGGGTATTATATTTATATATATATATAAAACTTCGGTGAGTTTTCTTATTCTGGACATGCTGGACGAAGTGAATAGTTAAGTAAAGTGGACTCGCCTAAAATGCGTGTTTTTGAAATTGGACTCCAGTTCAAAATGCATTTTTAAGAAAATTGCATGGCTAATAAGTATATTTTCTTAAACACGCATTTCGAGCTATGTCCAGCATAAAAAGGTCACCGACGAAAAGTTGTTTCTTTGGTGAAAGGTGCACTAATATCAGTTCTGACATTTTTGAAAAAATTGTGTTTGTTAATAAAAGTTTAAAATCCTAACCTACGGCAGTCGACGACAAAAGATATTTTGTTTTAAAATTCTATTTATTTTTTGTAGCGTCATTTTTTGCCATAAAATAAATTTAATGCATTCATAAAATCAATATCCCTGCATTATTCTTCTGTCCTTTCGTCGACAAGCCATTTCCTCGACATGGTTGCTTCGTCGACCGATCATTTTGATGATAAGTCATTTCGTCGACGAGATGGTCATTTCGTCTGAAGGATCGATTCGTTGGCAGGGTGTTTTCATCGGCATGGTTATTTCTTCAACAGGATCAATTTATTCGCAAGATCATTTCGTCGACGGGGTCGATTCCGTAGAAGAGGGTTCAGCGCCTTTTTAAACCACTTACTGCAATCCTATGTGTTAGAGAAATATTTTAAACAGCATATTTACTTAAGATTACAGTGTTTCTGCTGCATATAATAAATTTAAACCATATTCCCACATAAAACAAGTAATTTTCCGATAGCAAGCTCGTACATAGTTTTTTGTTTCTTTTTTTTAAAAAAAAAAAATGTTACTCGGTAATAGTTAGCTGTGCATTCTTAAACTGTAAGTGAAGCTAATTTTGTTTGAATATATGCGTGTTCTTGAAGCCTTTGCGATATGTGTCCTAATTTTTCCCTCATCCGCCCTTAGACGTAGCTATGATGACAGTACAAAACAAGACGGTGACATAGAATCTAGAATCAATGACACTTAGTATTTGACTATATTACATAATCGTCACTTGCATGCTCAAAAAGAGTTTCCTTTAAATTAGATTTCTTTAACTTATTTGTTTATTTCATACTCATCATTTTTTAAATTTTTTTTAATAATGCAATAAGTTTAAAACTGGTTAATTATAATACACTAATCGGTTGGTTTAGCTAATAATAGCATTTCATATTGATAATACTGTGACTAAGTCCTAGAATCTTATGACGGGCAAAACGTTCCTTGTGATATGATTTTCCCATTGGTAGACGATTCGCTCTATAAGAAGGAGCAAGAAACTTGTACACCACCCGAGTGCAAGAACAACGAAGTTAGATTGAGTGTCCGTGAGAGAAATAGAATTGAGTCCTGTAGGATTCAGTCCATCGCTGGGACGACAATCTCCTTGTGCAGATTCCCAATGGTCTTTATACCATTTTTGCAGTAATCCAAATCGCTCCATTCGAATAATTCTAAAATAAAGGAATTGAAAATTATTTTCGTTTGTAGGGTGCTTATAATGTGAAATAGGGTAGGCTGTTATACAATGTTAAAAAGAATTCTGAAATAGACTGCTTCTACATGACACAAATAAAATGGCATAACGCTTTTTCCAATCAAAAGAAATCTTGAGGGAACCTGCGCGAATAAAAAAATGGAATTCAGCTAGAGAAAGTACCTATTTACAATAATAAAGGGGTAAGTCTTGAGTAGGACTGGGCTATAAATCGATATATCGCGTCATATCGATCTAACGCCTGTATCGGCAGGCCGATACAGCGACTTTCGTTCCAGGCAATGCATCAGAAATCTGATTTAAGCCGTCGAGTAAAGAAGACGAACGATATAGCGATACAAGACACGCAATATAAGAATCGTCGACAATAGATGGCGCTGCGAGATACGGACAAAAACTTAAGGAAAAAAAAGAAGCGGGAGGCTGTTCTCTAGCTTGGTGTGAGAAGACTGGAATGTTCTATGATGGAGCGCGAAGTTTCATTGATTATGTGATTAATTACTATTATTTTCTATATACTTCATGTTTGTGCCGTGGCATAAGTATGCATCTAAATAAAATCGTTTATGCCAAGAAAGGTTTATGGTGAAATCATTTCACATTGAAAAATCTGAAAAAGAACCTGCGAAATATTACTGGCGCAGCCGCCGAAGATGATGCAGAACCAAAAACCAGGTGAGAGCTCACTTTATATTTGTAAATGTATGCTCCCATAAATAAGTAATTATAATTATTTGGGCGAAAATTATACAAAATGGAAATTAAATGTTTGTGTTCCGACATGGAACATTAATTTAGTTTACTCGTCAGAGTACGAACACGCCAGTGTTCTAAAGTGAATTCTTTTACTCGCCAGAGTACGTAGATAGCATATTTCTAAAAAGAATTTGGTTGTTCTTGTTGTTTTGATTTTCGTCCCAAATAATTGAAAATTTTATTTCATTATATTGAATTTATTGTGGTTTTTAAGTTCTGTTTTGGAAATTGTTGGAAGCACGCCAGTGCATAACATATAGCGTGGTATCGTAATTGAAAATTTTATTTGANTATTTATTATTTATTTTTAAACTAAGAAGTCTTTCATTATTTGCGCGATCATTTTTAGAAAATATAACATTAATATCTTTCTTAAGCAAAACATATACCTCAAATTCATAAATTGATTAAAATCAATCTGAGTATGAAGTTTTGATAGAAATCCGACTTTCTGCGGCTTACAAGTAAATGAATTTCAGAAATACTATATTGCGATGCAAAACTGACGATGCATCACGATATAAAATTTCTTATATCGCCCAGTCCTAGTTGAGTGCTAGACCAAGTACTGAAAATGGGGCACGAAATAGAAAAAGTAAGTATTTTCAATCAGATTTTAGTGAGTGTAACTTTTATGAAAATAAAAGGAAAATTTTACAGTTATAATATTGAAATAATTTAAAAAAATAAATTATAGATTACTAACAAGAAAATATTGTAATGAAATAACAAACTGATTAAAAATGAATCTAAATTATCAAAATTAAAAGTTCGAAATCTTTATTACTGTCAAATTTTCGTAAAGTTAATTATCAAATTTTAGGAAAAGTCTTATATCATTTATTACAATTAAAATATTCAGTTTCTTTACGCATATAAGTTATTGTGTGTCTCGAATGATTATTATTTTGCAATATTTACCAAAGTTAAAAATTTTGAAATATAATCAAAACTGTATGGGTCAGACACCTGACATGATAGACTTACTACAACGGGTCGGATTGGTGTGATGCTGCTGAACTGTAGTTTGGTACTCCTACTGAATTTAGTGGGAAGAAAGAAAAACCACCATTTATGATGGCTTTTATGTTTGGACTATACAAGTAGTATTATTCTGTTTCGACATTTAATCTGATTTCGATTGAATCAACACTTCTTTTGAGGTGTCTATTTAAAATGAATATCATTTTCGATTAATTAAAACTTCTTTAGTCCGAGCAAATAGAGAATTGGAATTTAGCTTTAGGGTGTTAATGATAGTTAAGAAGAGTTTCACATTGCATTAACACCGAAATTTTTTCTCGAATACAGAATCTTTAGTTAACTTTCTCCTTTTGAAAATCTGCTATATTAATCATTTTGCATAATTTAGTAATATATTAAGCCAGACTTACTTGTCATTAAATTGCCTTAAAAAGGGACTGTTTTTAACCAGAGCAATGGACCAGTCAGATCGGACTATCCCATCTTTTGCAACGTACAAATCGCATATGACACTATCATCCGAGTACTTATGCATTTGTTTCACCAACATAGATCTGCAATGGAATATCTGTTGAATTTACGTTGAATAAAAGTTTCGTTATACTTTTGTTTTTCTCCAGAAGTTATTTTAAAGGAATTTTATTTCCAAAATGTTTTTTCTTTCACAATTTTTTCTAATAACTTCTAATCGAGAGATTTATTAAGCAATTCCGCACGCAAGCTCTGCGCATCATAGTTACCATTAAATAACCTTATTTCTCTAAGGGACTTGCGCAGACCTGCATACAGGATACTAACGTGAGAAGAGATTCCTCTCAACCAGGGTTGGCAAGATTTTACCGCAGGTGGAAAAAACCATGGTAAATACCGGTAAAAACAGTCCTGGCAAAAATAGGTTTTTGCCAAGCAAATTGGCAAAAAGTGGCAAAAACCTATATTTTCCAAGATGAGAGGACAAAAGCACATTTTTGGTACAAAATGATTCCTAAAATTGAAATATATACTATAAATATAAATAATTACAAAAAAATTAACAAAATTATTATTCCATAATTAAATCATAATTTAATAATATATCATTTTAGTAGTTTAAAACATTATTGATTGGAAAATTTGCGATTATTCTCTTTTTTCCAGTGAAATGAACTTATTTTAAATTAATATAACTATAATTTAAAGCATGAAATATCTATCAAGATGTGTAGTTAATTATTGTACAAATAATAATTTTTTATAATATAATAATAATAATATTACACAAATAATAATATTTATTTATTTGTAAAAAAACATTTATTTAAGGATTCTAAAATGAAAAGAGGTCAAAAACTTTCAATGTTTTAAAAATTATTGCCTTTATATTAATTATTAATATGTTAAAAATAATTTTTTCATGTAATGTATCAAAATTATTATTCCTTATGATTGATTTAAATTTGTTTCAAGTATTTTGTAATAATATTTAATCAGCAATTTAGATATTTTGGTTTTGGCCGGTTTTTACCAGTTTTTGCCGTTTTTTACCAGGTTTTTGCCACTGTCCTGGCAAAAAACCCTTTTTGCCGGCAAAAACTCCAACTCTGCTCTCAAGCTTATGTACTTCTGTAATATTTGATCAGCCTAGAATTTGTCAGGCCTAACAGAAGGTGAACATTTTAGTGCAGTGCTGTGGTTTATACACATTACTATGCCGTAACACTGCATTAATCAATTTATTACTGTATCGTGCATAATGATTAAAACACATAGCGATGTATTAAACCATTTAAAAATGCTTAACGTTATAGGAATACATTTAAGGAATTCCCAAATTCAAGTGCTTTAAAAAAAGTAAGCTGCTTGCTAATTCGTAACCGTATCCGAATTAAATAGTAAATTACGCAGTTTAATTAAAATAATTTAAGAATTAGTTTACCTCGGAGGAGCTTATTAAGTAGAAAAATCCTGTTGTTCTGCATTGGTAACTGGCTAGACCAAAAGTAATTCAAGGTGGTTCATTTTCTTCGCTTACAAAATTAAGTGATATAAATACATAAATGACTTGAAGTTGCAGTATTAGTTTATACACTGATGAGCCAAAACATTATTAGATACTCAGCATTTTTCAATGAAGTCGTCTGGGTGACGTAGAGGGCACGTGATTTAGTGAGAATGATATTTAACTGCTACTGGAGAAGTTAAGGAATCTTTCTTACAATTATTTTGTGAGTGGTGAGAAAGCCTATTGATTCAAGCGAATTTGATTGAGAACAGATCGTAATGGCTCGAATACTATCAGTACAGATATCTCTGAAACTGCACGACTGGTAAATTGTTAACGATCTGCCGTCGTAGATGAAGCAAAATGGATAAATGGCGATGAAATCAGCTGTAGAAGTTAAAATGTTAAGCGTCCAAGCGTCATCAAAGAAAAGGGACACGCAGTTCAGTGGTTGGATATAGGACATCTCACTTGTGTGCCTCTTTTGACCAAGCATCATCGGATCTTAATCCAATAAGACACATTTGGGGTGTCACAGAAGGGCAGTTCAGAAACACCCTCCTGTCGGAAAAAAATACGACCACTGCTTAGACATTTTGTACAACTTACGGTCTCCAGATTTTTATAAAAAACTGTAGCATCCTTGCCTAAGGCAAGTTGTCACCTCATGATATAGAGTAATGTTTTGGCTGTTCAGAGTAGTTTTTACCTGTCTGCTATCCATGCATATATCGGTGTCCTTTCATCGTGTTCATGAACTCTCTTCATAGTATCTTCTATATGGTACTTTCCTGGGATAACATTATCCTTCATATTTTTTAGCCACAGTTTACGCCAATAATCGGATCCCTATCGAAAAACACAAAACATCCTATTACATAAATACACATTATTGCAGCATTCGGTTTCAAATCCAATTGAAAACTTTTTAAAACCTATTTTTTCAATATTTTTTACAAGTCCGATACATGTTTTCTAATTTTCCTGTGCAATTTTAATGAAAAATTATTATTTATATTATTCACAGATTTTCAATTATTTTTCAATTATCATTCCATTGCGTACATTTTTCTTTTTACGAAATTAAGCCAGTGCAAAATTTTAAAAAGCATGTACAAAAATCATTCAACTGGTACGTTTTAAAAATTTAACATTTGTGACATTGAGTCTTTTACCTACGATGTAAATACAATCCAAAATACGAATTAAAACGTATCAGAATAATAAATTTCGTTTTTTTTTTCTCCACTAAGATCAAAAAGAAACATTTTAACTAATTTATAAACCCCTGATTGTTTTTGTTTCTACTATAAAATGTTTGGTAATAATATTAACCGTTTTTAAAATTAATCGTCTCTTTTAATCTAAGTTTAAAGTAAGATAATATGTCTTTGTTTTTATCATTAATCATTTCTATTTATTACACTCATTTCTGTCTATTACATTTTACCCTTATAGAATGGTTTGCTTTTTATAATTGAAAACACTAGGTAACAAATGCTTTGTTCTTCCGTTTATGTAAATAATTGATATTGTCTTATGCAAGTACCGGGAATTTCAAATATAATCTGAAATTAGTTTTGCTCCTAAAGCTATATAAATTTTTAAAATGATATTTTTTTGTCTATTTTTTGTTGAAATATACAAGTTTGAAAACGTTATATTTATATATAACAGGGGTCCCCTAACAACAAGTATTTGGACACGTGTGATTGAAAAGAAAAACCAATTTTATTTATAATCAATAGTTGGTAGAGCCTCCACGAGAGGCAATTACAACGTGAACCCTCCGGGGCATGCTTTCCACAAGTCCTTGTGTGACGGCTAGTGGTATTTTTTTCCACTCGGCTTGGAGAAGACATGTAAGCTCCTTCACCGATTTTGGACGGGTAGTACACTTCTTAATTCGGCAATCCAACTCGTCCCAGAGGTTCTCGATAGGGTTCAGGTCTGGGCTCTCAGGTCTGGGTAGGCCAGTCCATTCGATTAACCCCATTCTCACCATTGGCAAGCCTTGGTGACCCTCGCAACATGACAGCTGGCATTGTGGTCCTGGAAGTAACAGGGGTCCACCCCGTAAGACTGCCACAACGTAGGAAGCACATTGTGATCCAAAATAGTGCAGTAGGCATCTTGCATGGGACTAATGCCGATGTATGTTCCATACACGATATAAACCGGCGGAGGACGTGACATATCTCAGGACCGCAGATATAGTCATTTGCATAGGTGTCCAAATCGTTATTGGTAGATAGTGTATTCTAGGTGAGTTAAAGCTCAACATCAGGATTGAAATTGCATAGGAACTCCTGTCTGCAAATATCATTGTACGCGGACAGGACAGCCTCTCTATTGTGCCCTGTTCAGAAGCACACAAGGAAACAGTTCCTAATAGGGAAGCATACCTGGTAGCGCATGTGGAAATTTCCGGTCATGGAGCTCCTATGCAATTTTAATACTGATGATGAGCCCTAACTGCCTTAGAAGTTTGTCGTAATATTTATGCGACTCCCTGTTATATATAACATTTTTAACCTTGCATATTTCAAACAAAAAAAAAGAAAAATTATTAAAAATGTAATTTAAATAAAACTGTAGCTTGGAGAGATTGTTGTTTTAAAATATGCTTTAAGATATGCTCTCCTATTGCTGTTTTAAAATATGCTACACGGAAATATCCAAGATCCGTTAAAAACTCTTATGCAATAGAAAAACAAAATTGTTCCCCAGCGTTATTAATATTTAAATTCGTATTTGCTATTAACTGAGCTGCTACATGTGATTCAATTCGAGTACTTTTAATGAAACTATTTATCCAGTAAAAAATATGCTCTAGTCATGATAAATTACCTTAAAATATGAATGAACCTGAGAATTATTTCTTAGCGCCAATAAGGCATTGGGATATCGTTTAACGAGAGACAGTAGGTTGTCTGCTGGACTTGGACTTTTATGCAAGCTTAATCTTGAAGTTAAACTTCCTCCATAGAGGGCACTAAGTATCAACGCTCCCATAAGCCACGTCCCAAGAATAGTTCTAGCTGCTGTTGTCTGAGGCATACGCGTTATAGCTAAAATTAAGAAACAAACATATTACACATTTGCATATCGAAAGTATTAAAGATACAAATAAATTGAAGTTCAAAAACAAGGAAGACGTGGTTTTCCTCTTCATATAACGCAAATGCGGGTTAGTTCCATCAAAAAGTCTTCCAAGAAGACAATTTTCTCTCAATACTTGATCGAGGAGTTTCCTTGCCTTCTGGATTGGGTTCAAAATTACAAGGCTACGGAGATGAACATTGGTAATCGTAAACTCAAAATTAGGTCGGCTGTTCAATGTCAGTTATAAATAAAATATAAGAAAGCGCTATTTTTGCGGATATAATAGTGTGAGCTGCTGACGAGATTATATATTTCCATTGCTCAATTTTCAAATTTAATTAATTTTCTTAATAATTTCTTCTTTTCTTTAAAATTCTTTTTTCCTTATTTTTTATTCTTTCTTTACTTCGTTTGTGTTTTTATATTAGTGTTTTCATGTCTATGAACTAGCAGCTTATGCGTGGTTAATAAAAAATAATCACCATGCTCTTTTTAGGATTGTATTACTAATATTCTGAACTAAATAGTTATTCGTGACGAGGAAATATCAAATATAAGTTTTAAATTACTCTTTTTTTTTGGCTAGATAGTAAAACTATTAACTAAGTTTAAAGATTGGATAAAAGTGCTCGTATACTTACCTTGACCAAGAAGTGATCTGTACAAAGAGCTGATGCTACGAATAGCTGCATTCACGAATATTTCATTTTTATCTAGGTATCGATTCTGCTTATTTTTGTATGTAGCCTCAAAATAAAGTATGAAACAGTATGCACAAGATCCTGCAATCATCACTGTGGACAAGCTGATCCAGACCTATGGTGAAAATAAAAACATTCAGCTTATATATTCACTAAGACGTTGATTTATTTGTTTGGCTCTTTTTTTTTCATATAAAAAGATAGATGAATTTTTTAAATTTTTTTTTAAAAAATTTAAAAATATCCTTGAATCCATTTTTTGTTCAGTCAGTCTAGAGAATGTGAAAATGCAGAATAAAATGTAATGTTCAAGGCTAGAATTTGTATAGAAAAGGCAATTAGTGAATGCCGTGAGATATAGCTTTCATAAAATAACCTCACCTTGGTAGACAGATTTTGGACCTCTTTTGAATGAGATAACCGTGGGAGATTTTTCTTTTTATGTAGCGCAAATGGTGATTAGTTTCACTAAAAAAGTCGCCGACCGAAGAGATGACACTATCTCGAATTTCAGCGATGCTTTGTTGATACGAACTCTGCTCCCGGTTTGCCCACCACAGAGTGACGTAAAATATCCTGGGTTAGTATAGTTAAATATAGTTTGGGTTAGACTCTCCTTACTGTTAGCCTAACCGTGTGAGGTTTATGTGGTTTTCCTCTCCAAGTAACAGATATTCCGGTTGGTTAAATCAAAAAGTCCTCCACAATGGTAGTTTGTCTCGATGCCTGATCCAGAAGCTCTCTGTTTTATAGATTTTTATAACCAGCTTTGAACAGCTGAGGGAATTCTGAGTTTACGGCTATCAATGTTCAACACTGTAGCCTTGTATTTTGAACCCAACACAGAAGACAAGAAAACTTCTGAATAAAACATTGGGACCAATTAACGTAGATAACTTTTTGTTGGAACTAACTTACATCTGGTGTTACAAGGAGAGGAAAACTGCTAAAATCTCCCATGGTTAGCCAGATATCAAGGGGATTCTAACCCATGGTCCGTCTATCATTGAGTGTATTTTTACGTCAGCACTGTGGCCAATTAAAATTAAGGCTTGTTTTCATTTCTAGTCCTGAAGTTTCCAGTTGGAAATATCTATGAATTCTTAACACTCATTTGAACTGTTCGGGCCTTACCGGTTGTACTCATAGTGTTTTAATAAGCTACCTATAGATTTACCGTCAATTTATCTGTTGCCAAATACACTTCGGACCTTCTTCCACAACATTCACCGGGATCTCCAAGACTTAATGACTTGGCAAAATAAAACAATGTTGAATGAAGTCTAAGAGATAGACTCAGATCTTTTCCTAAGAACAAATCTGATTAAGATATTTTTTTATCATTTAGAACTTTCTTCAATTAAGCTCTTTGATTTTCCTACAATTCGATATTTTCAATTAACTTACTCTAAAATCTATGTCTTGGAAAAGAATCCATGCTCTGCTGTAGAAGGCAGGTGCTCTGTATATAAAACTGACGGTTTCAGGAAATATTGGATGGGTAAGATCGACAGCTAGATTCCTCTGTAGAGTCCAGGAAATGTCTCCTGTTCCTATATCCACTGTCTGTACATAAAAACAATATATTGCATTTTTATATTTAGCATATTTAATTTGTTAAAAAATGAATGTGCGTTTAAAAACATTTTGATTGCGTCAACGAGTATAGCAATATTTAATCAAAATTTTTAAATTTTGAAAATTTACTGCCCATATAGGGTGTTTTGAGCCTTGATGGCTCAGGGGATAGAGCGTTCGCCTTCCAATGAGGTGCACTGGGTTCGAATCTCAGCGATGGCTGGTCGATACGAATTCCGCATCCGGCTCGCACCGGCCACAATTCCGACGAGAAATATTCTCAGTGGTAGACGGATCACTGGTTAGAATCCCCGTGCCGTCAGGCTAAATTGGGAACCGCTGCAGTAGAGGTCACAAATTAATGTCTAAGGGATAAAAAAAACGCTATCAAAACCTGACGAATCACAAACGAAATTAAAGAGAATATAATTGAAATTACATTATTATATTATTAAATTAATAAAAAATTTAGTTTTAAAAAATTACAAATTTTTCTCTTCGGGACCCTGACGAGGTTTCCAAAATTCGAAAGCTACCTGAGCTGTAGCGTCAGTAGTCTCACTTCTTTCCGTGTTCTGAAACTGTCTACTGGTGGATTCAGATGCTTTAAAAAGGATTCTTTTTAAATATAAAGACACTGCTTTATTTTTATTTAATTTTTATTCAGTTTTTAAATTGTGTTAATATTTCATCAGTGTAAAAGAAGAATTTAAATATAAGCAGTGTAAAGGAAGAAATTAAATATAAACGGTATAAAAGAGGAAATTAAATATAAATATTTTTGAATGAACAGGATGAATTTCACAACCTTTCTAATAAGCTCTCTAATCATCCCAGTCCATGTACCATCTTCTTGCTGCATACCATAATCACGATTATCAGCCTCCTTTACTACATAACTACGCAAAAAAGTAAATGAAGTAATGAATAAAAATAGAACAAAATTTAAAAATTAGCAAGTGCGCACAGGCGCTCAATTATTTTCAATTACTTTTTAACCATTTTTTATGTATAATATGTTTTTCTCTTCAACTTACATGTACAATACGCAAAAAAAGAAAAACAGTTGTATTTTTACAAGGAATCAATTTTAATGTTCGGAAAGGGTGACCTTCGGTGTTTGAACTTACGACTTTTTTTAAAATTCGTTTTCTCAGGAACTATTCGATCGATTTCGCTCAAATGTTGCATTTTGCCTTTAAGATAACGTAGAAAATTGCATACCGTACAATTCTAAAGCTTTCCGAATATAATGAAAAAATAATAAAAGAAAAGTAAATATTTACCAACTATTTTTAGAATGGGATTATCTTTGGATAAACGAACTTTATAATTGCGAGCAAATTTTTTCAACTTCACTTAAAAAGTTCTCAATATATAGCAAAATATGCAAAAAGTAACATTAAGAGGTCCAAAACTTTGGAACGCTCTGCTGCCCAAATTATGGTGACCACATTTCCTAGATTGCGGCTACCTACTATATTTTGGGGGTCTGACATCAGGCACGAAGTGTCTTTTTGTGCCTGATTTTGTAACTTAAAATAGCATCTGCTTTAATTATTTAGCATATATGAAGTCCTTCCTTGAATCAATCAAATTGAGTCCTGGAGCGTGAAGATCCAATCATGAGATCAAAAGTTATTCATGGTGATCTGCTTTTTTTTGTTCTTTTCTTCTTCTTCTTGCGCATGGTACAAGCAACATAATTTAATTGATCTGATTAATTTAATATGCAGGTCAAAATTAGATAGGTAATTTAAAGTTATCATGTATTAAATATCTTACGTGAAATTGAACATATCCCCAAGAATATTAATGACTCTAAATATGTATCCTCTCCATTTTCTTTTTCCAGGTAATGGTGGCTCTTTTATGGGAGGGCTCTGAAACATAAACATTTATGGTACAACATAAAACAATGTGGTACAATATATCTAAGCACATATGAAACATAAGCAAATTTGGTACTAGCATTATGTAGATCCTACATCAATAGAAGGACTTAGATCAATATAATTAAGAAATATTTTCAAACAAGTGTTTTCGATGAAAAAATTACTAATTTTTCCACGTTGACAATTAAATATTTTGCCCATTGCGCTGACATCCTGCAGCAGGAAACTTGTGGATTACTGGATATTTGTAGATTGCTTCTATTTGGAAACAATACTAAGGAAAAATTTTATTTAAAATGTGGCCCCATCACTGCATCGTCCCAAGCTATTCAATAGCAATTGATAGGTATTTTGTCTTTTTAGGTTATTATTTACAGACATTAAATAATTTGTCATTTTTTGTTATAAAACATAAGGATTTTATAATACCTTCTTTAAAATATACTACCGATTGAAGGCATGACGTGTACGTACTTTTTAAATAACAAATTAGCAATATGTGTCAGGAATTTTTTTTTTTTTATTGAAAAATGCTCTCCGAAGACCGTTGTATGCTCTGGGAAAAGCGATGTAAGTTTGATTTATTTTATTTAATTTTAAATTCTCGAAAAAAATTTCAATTCTCTCTAGTACTCTCTCTTTTTTCTTTTTTAATGAAAAATATTATGTGTACCCTCTGTACCACCTTCAATTCTGAAATACTTACTCATATGGTTACAGTAGTTTCACATTTTGGATTGCACTTGTGCCAAGTACTTTGATGAAATTCAAAAAGTTTGAAGCATTTATTAACATGATTTATTTGTTTTACATGTAATTTTTTGTAGTTTATTAAATTTTTTTTAGTACATTAAAGGCTAATGCTTTATTTTCAAAATTAATTCAGCTTTTTTTTAATAAAAATTTTGATAGATTTGTATGAAAAATATTAAGTATATTTATAAAGAAACAATTTCTAAAAAATTCAAAAATTTTGAATTAAATTTTGATTTTGAATTCATTTTGTGTAATTCACAATTTTTTAAGGGAAAGAGTTAAATAAAAATTAAGATCTCCAACAGTATGCATTTGAAGAATATAGAGTAAAAAGATTATGAAACAATTAATGAGTATCTTTCTGAAGAGTCGTAAGCTTCAAAAATCACTTTTGGTAACATCTCAGATTCATGAGTTAGTTTGCTTAAGTTGAATTAAAAATGTTACAGACCATAACAAATAAATAATTTAAATAAATTCAGAAAAGATCCAAAGCTTCGTAAAATCCTTCATGCTCACAATTTTTTGCTTTTTGTTTAAGAAAAAAAAGCAGAGCACTTCCTCAACAAGCAGTTATTGGGCTAGAAGGGACATGGAAATCAAGGCCTCGCAATTTCGAGATCAACGTCATTATGGCGCACCGGCTTCCTTTACTTTGCAGGTAAAATGGTACTAATAGATTTGAAATTGGGTGGTCTTCAAATTATCCCTAAGGATAGGACTCCTGATAGCTTAGTGCCTTAACAATTCTGTCTTTGTGATATGTTGTCAAAAGACTCTTCATTGCCGAATTTCAATGTGTCATCAAGTCTTAAGTTTTAAATCAGAATTAAAAATTTTTGAAGGTACTTATCAATTTCACCGTTGCAGTTAAATTCTGTTATTTTATTTAAAATTAAATAAATAAAAAAACCAGTTGAACTTATTTTTTTTTCTTTATCAACCTTATGAATCGATATTTAGCTCCAAATGGATAAGTACCTGCTTGAATCGTGGCTACTATAGAGAGTTTAAATTATATGTTTCCTCTTGAATTGAAAAACTTCATTCAAAAAACATCAAAAAAGGTATTAAAATTTTGCGAGAATAAAAAAAAGATGAAAAAACATCGAGCTATGTCTTTTTCATTTAAAATAACATTAAACAGTTCATTTACAATCTTTTTTAAAAAAGAGTTTGAAATTGGAAAGAAAAAAACACTTGAAATGCGTTTTGTTGTTACCCAATTTATTTTATAAACACGCAAACAAATTACCGATATTATATTAATTTACGTTGTTTGTAAAGCATATTCAAAATTTTCTCTTAGTAGCTCAACTACCAAATAATAAAGGCTTATTTTTATAGTATACAATTGAAGGAAATGCTAAAATTTAATCATCATCTTACTCCTAAGGCAGATACTTTAAGAATTCTTCCACCAAAATTCGTAAAAGGTTTATCAAATAGTGGTTCTTCCTCTAATGTGCAGTTTTCAAAACTTTCATTTAAAATTTTCAGTTGAAACGTTATGTTTCCGTTACCTATAGAATGTAACGACCACAGTTGCAAAACCTAAAAAAATGAGTAATACATAATGCTTTAAGCATGAGTACTTAATAGATTCAACTATAAATTTATAGATATAAGCTTAATAGATATAAATTCAACTATTTAAAACTATGTCAATATTTAATAAAAATCATGTGATGTTTCATGCTTAAAAGATAATTTAAATAGATATTCTAAGCTGTCTCGGCAATTCTGTGTACTTTTAAAATTACAATCAAGCACAGTTCGTACAATATTACATTTTAGAATTCTGGGAACGATAATTTAAATAGAATTGCATGCTAGTTCACTAATTTTGTGTTCATTTAAAATTACAAATGATGCACCGTTGTACAATATATATTAAATTCTGGGTTACTGCCTATAAATATTAAAACTATGGCTGTATTATAATATGAATCATAATTGTGGAATGGAAAAGTAGTTGCCATTCAGACACCAGAAATGAAGATTAAGAATTGGTTATAATTAAGAACGAAAAAGCACTGCGAGAACTCTAACACTGAGAATATAACGAGAAGTCACGAAAACTTTTAGATACGAGCCTTTTGATATTAAACTATCATTGCTGCAGTATGAAACTTACACATGCGATGATTGCACAGAAATGCAATAACGTATTGATGAATAATTGTACAACAATAGCATATTAATGATTAATTCCACTTATTTCACTGAAAATTTTTTAGCACGAAATTAAGTATTTAATGAGATTGGTCATTATATCCCAGAACTAAATTTGACCACTCAATCGTGATTAATAATAGAAAAGTAGTTGCCATTCAAATTCCAGAAATTAAGATTAAGAATAGATTTTTATTAAGAATGGAAAAGGATTTCAAGCAATTTAACATTAAGAACAGAATCAGGAAACTATTTAGACACGGAACAGAGAAATATCACCGAAATAGAGATTTTTTTCCAGTATGTTTGCTAATTCAAAAAAAAGAAAAAAAAAGAAAAAAAAGAAAAAAAAAAATCAATAATTTGCCCGTTTTAAAATCTTGACTATTCTTTACAGCTATTCAGCACAGAGGTTAACGCTGTCGTTTAGAAATTATATATTCTACAGATTATCTAAGCAATGTGCAGATTAACTAGGTTCGTTAAAGTGCAGGAAATTATTTAGCAAATTACCTTGATAATTTGCACATTACTCATGAAACACTCGTTAATTTGAACATTATCTACTAAATACTCCTTAAAGTGAAAATGAGATCCTTGCAGGAACAACAGCAACAATACTGTTCTCAATGATAGAGTGAGAGGAACTAGCATTTTAATGATATGGACGTATTGCATTCGAATGGATCACTCTTATTAATCTGCATAATAGTTAGATAATGTTCACATTAATGGCCTTCGTACTTAAGTGGTAATATTAAAAGTAGAGATTTGCTTCTAGTCAAACTTTTTAATTTCTCTTGACGATATTTAATTTTTCTTGACGATTATACTCAAACTATGATTTAATTTTTCTTGACGATATTTAATTTTTCTTGACAATTATACTCAAACTATGGTTTAATTTTTCTTGACGATATTTAATTTTTCTGTATAATTCTGTAATTTTCTGTAATTTTTCTTGAGATACTCAAACTATGATTTAATTTTTCTTGACGATATTTAATTTTCTTGACAATTGGGTATAATATAGCCTACGTCACAGGTTGTGTTGTTCCTACTAAATTTAACCCATGAACGGCATTTTCTGCGAGCCTAACTTCAATCCACAAATAAACAAACGAAGTGTTTGATCGTTTAAATAGCTGCTCGCCAGATTTTATTGCATTATAAAGAAAAGTTATTGAAACTAAATACAACTAAATAAACAACAACAACTAAAACAAATAACAGCAACTACTAATAACAATAACTAAATAAACAACAACTAAATTCCATTCGTTTAGCATTGCGTCATATGTTGTTCCTAATACTAAATCGAAGTAGTTGTTTTTTTTTCGTATTATACCCAATTATACTCAAATTATGATTTAATTTTTCTTGACGATAAAAGCTTCGAAAAAAATTATAAAGTTAGAAAAACTAAATATAAAGTAAATTTGATACTAGCTGATAGCACATTTAGATCAGGATGTAAAAATTCAGAGCTGTTGAAGATGTTATTTCCGACAATAAGAACTTGATCTCCTTCTTCAAAATCATCTAGAAGATTCCCCAAATTTGCCAAACCATTTAATCCAAAAATCCATAACTGTGAAGAGTTGACCATTGATTTCTTCTGAAAAATAATTTAAAAAATATATTTATCGGATTAAAGTGACATTGCCTATTTTTTAGTATGGCTATTTTGACATTTCTCTGCAGCTCTTTCAAAAGAATGCAGAAATACTTGGTAATTAAACTGCAATGAAGATTTAAGAGTAAGCTTACAACTTTACCGTTTGAAAGGAAGATTAACTTTGACAATAATTGAATATTTGATGACTGAGAAAACATTTCTTTTCTTGCAAAACTTAGTTCTTTGGAGAGAGAACTCTCTATGTTATGGAGCAGTCGTCCCTTCATTTCTTTCTATGAAAATACATTCGCTTGAAAGAAAGAAAAAAAAACGGCAAGTGTTTAAGTCTTTTTGGTGACTCGAACACATTTTTATTTTTAAAAAAGTTTGTTTAACAATTACACCGAAAAATAATTAAACTTTGTCTTTTTTCGCATGCTCTTGTCATGGAGCAGGCACATACAACAACTTAGGTGAAAAAGATAATTTTGGTAATAACATCTAAAAGCTTATAAAAGATTTAATTAAAAGATTCAATTATGAGTATTTTAGATTAAAAGAAATATTTTCCTCAACAAAATTAAAATTAAATAATTTATGTTCGTGGTGATTTTTTGGTTGGCGATTATATCCTGAGCCAATTTTGGTTACAACTAAAGTAACTGAGGTTGATGAAGTAATGACATGCTTTATATATTAACGCCATATTGACTCGATATTTCTATTTCTCTCCTTGCAAAAAGGAAAAATAATTACCTCTCAACTCTTACTATAATTAATATTCGATTTCAGGAAAATCAAATATTAATTACAGTAAGAGTCTGAGTAGTAAATATTTTATTCTCTGCAATGGGATAAATAAAAATATCGATTCAATATAGCGGTAATATATAAAGCATGTGTTAATGTTGGTTAATATATAATAATTAATTAATATATAATAATTAATTAATTTATAATAATTAATTAATTTACAACAATTAATTAATTTATAACAATTAATTAATTTATGATAATTAATTAATTTATAATAATTAATTACATAACTAATTATTATGTTAATGTATGATTTTTTGTGTTGTTGAAATTCTCTTTAAGAACGTAAGTTGGTAAGGTATACATTACAGTTCTTTGGTAGTTTTTTTTATATGATACAATCGTTAAGATAAAAACACATTAATTCAAAATATGAAAATTAATTATAACTTACTCATTTCCTTTTTGAAGATCAAATCAAAATTCGAAGACTTTGAAGATCAAATAAAAGATGGCAAGATGCGTGTCAAATTTTCCGGGGATGAAAGTTTTCTGGGTTTTCTGCTGGTCTGACGGGGAAGTTTAGAGAGAGAGAGTGGGATACAAGCTCAGACATTGTTTACATTGTCTGAATTACATTGTTTAATTAAGTCACTGCAGTGACTTAATTAAACGACGCTTTTACTATGGCTGTTAAACGATAGAGCCCTGAATAATTGGGCAAGGTCGTTCAATCTTATCATCTTGAACTCTTTCTTTTTAGGCATAAAAAATATAGAGAATTATAAATAAATTTTCCCCTCTAATGCGCGAACACGTAAAAAGAAGAAGCATTTTTTAGAAAAATTGTATTTCGTACAATAAAGCGTGTCGCTCCATTTTGGATGTGTTTACAATGACTACAATATTTATAGTTCTTCTTGCTTAAAATTGTGGCTTTCCTGCCTCTTAAAGGGTTGAGTGTTTCAAAAGAGCTTCCCCTTGTCCAGAAAAAAATGCGTTGGGGTTGCAACACCTTGTATCATTCTTAAAATTATTCGTTCATGCGTACAACTTAAAAACTCATTAATCTAAAGTTCTAAAAATATTTGGCATTTCGATTATTTAATTTAAAAATCTTACTTACTTTACTTAAGTTTGAAGATCTAATGGTTTAAAATTGACCGTGCACATTGCTTTTTAAGTCGAACATTGTTTTGCAGAGATTACTTACTTTCAATGATTGAACTATTTGTGACGTATAGTTTGCAGTATTTGGTGATCCTACTATGGCGATAAAGCCGTCCAAAGGGGGATTTACTCCAAACCTTACTGGCCATTGATAAGTGTCCATTTCTTCCACTTCAAAACTGATGACAAGTATTCCATTGCTATTTAACGATTTCACTACAGATGCGGTAACTGAAGAACAAAAAATCACAATTACAAAGGATATAAAAGGAACAACAGTTGTCGAATCAATAACGCGTAAATGAATAATTTCAAAACAATAATGCGTTTATAATTAATTCCACTTCTTTAGCTGAAAATTTTTGAACATGAATTTTCATATTTAATGAGACTGCTTACAATATCTCAGTAGCTAAATTCCACCATTTAAATCAAATTTAGGAATGAAAAGTGCTAAGTGCACGTTAACGTTGAGATTCGAACGTATAAGAACACGAACCGTTTTATATTAAACTGCTTTGAAAGAAGGTACTGGAATAGTTTTCACTTTTTTCGAGTATTTGCTTTGAAAAGTTTAAATCTCTCTGTACATTCATATGGCACTTTTATGAGGTAATTAAAATGGAGTTTTGATTTGATAATCAATTTTATTTAACTTTTTAAAGCTAAAATGAAATATTTTTTGCTGTTAAAATGTTTCTTTTTCTTAACATTTAGACCTAGCATTTAAGACTTAACTCTTTTAGTCATTAAAGGAGAGTAGAAAAGTATACAAGTTTACGTTTAATAAATATAGCCACTGTAAGTGTCCATCTTTTCGTCATTAAAAATTTGGATTATTTTATTCACCCTATAAAAACTTGCAACATTTTGATTATTTTTTTATCTAAAGGATAGTAATATGCAGTTAGAGAATTAAAAATTTTTGTTTAAAAGATGTAAAAAAAAAGAATTTCGAGTGTTGCTTAATATTTGGAAAAGAGAAAAGTTTTATTACTAGAGTTTAATAATTTTTAGCGTCTAGAACTTTAAATGCCGTTTGAAGAAATGAGAATAAGCATATTTAAGTTAATGATTTATTACGATTAAATATTGCATTTCTTTAAATTTTGATAACTCGCATTACACATCGAACATTAACTTACATTGATAACTTACATTACATAATAACTTACATTTTTGATAACTTACATTTGTTTCCAGCACTCGTTTTTATTTTAGCATTTAAACTATGGTGCCCTAAACTTTACTAGCACTAAACATAGACAGACTTTCGCTTTTATATATAGAGAAAAGAAATAGTAATAAACAGGGCCGCTTAGATAAAATTATTAAATAAAATAGTTATGATACCAGTTTTTGCATTTTCGTAAAAAAAGAATTGCAAGTTTTTATGCGAAGTGGTTGTAATAGGTTAGTTAGGCATAACAAATAAAAAAAAAACATTCTAATCTCTCAAGATTAATTAAATTATAATCGAGCTGATGATACATTGAAAAGATTCTATCTGGTTACTAGATTGGTGTGCTGCAAATGTTCAAATGATTTTGATATTTACTTCGAATTTTTATCCAAGAACGTTTATTGTTAGCAATTCAAATTTTTGAGCGATATATTTCTAACACAAGTATTCAAATACAGCGAAATGAACTTAAAATTAGTTTACTTAAAGTTAATATTTTTAACAAAGTTTAATTGTGTCTTCTGAAATTTCAAAGACTCTCGAAAGACAATACAGCAAACTTATACCATACTAATCTGTGACAATCATCTTATTTGCGTGAAACTTACCAATTGATTAAAGATGTTTTTCATGAAACAAAGTCACGATTATCCGTATTAAAAGCTAAAAAGTGTTTCATTTTCGTGTTTTTTTTTATATTGGGGACAATAGAATTCAAGTTTCGCCATCAGGTTACAATCGATTGCCACTGTTCTTGGGATAATTCATAGTTTGCGTTTTCGCATATGACGATAATTTTGTTTTCTATCTGTCAATAATGTCAAGTGATTCGTTTCGGATCTTTTTTGAAAAGTATAATTAACACACATTGACACCTTTGTTCAGCTGACCTGGGTGAATAGATACTTATTATGGATCACTTTCTATATTTACTTCCTTATTGTTTTTCCAATGCTATTGCCATTGAAAAACTTTTGGTGGTAGTTTTATTCAGTGCTAAATAAAATATGTATCATGATTATAATTTTTTATGGTTTATATTTAAAAAAAACTAATAGCTCTGTTCTCTAAAAAGACGATAGAAAGTTTCAGTGATAAATTACGTCAAATAACACTGAGTAATAGTGATAGATGTGCAAAAATTTAGGCATCTAAGGAGTAAAAATATTTTAAAATCCAGGTGTTAAAATGAAGCAGTTATTTTTCAATAAAGTAAATAAAAAAGCATGTATAAATAAAAAACATTTCTTCATTTCTTGCATCTTTTACAGGGCAGATTTAGGATAAAAAAAATTTGTGCACAAGAGCAAACATAATATAAGTTGAAATATGCGTGGTTATCATAAATATACGTGACAAAATTTATAGAAATGTGCGAGGATAAGAAACAAAGTGTGGAAGGAATCCGCAATTTAGGAAATACGTTTCGGATGGGTTAGAATGAAGAGTGGTCGATTTGGAACTATTACCGTGAATCAAGAATTGTTAAGATATTGCTGACCTCTTGTCATAGAAAGGCTTCGCTGATGCTTCATCGTAATTAAATACTCTGATATCTGTTATAAAATAAAGCTATCAGACCGACAATTATGGAAAATTCCGTTGATTCATCCTACGTATAACAGTCAAGCTCTCATGCCTTTACCATCAAGACTGATAGAATCATCATCTGGAATAAAGGCAAGCTTCAGATCCCTTACTATCAAGGTAGATTGAGTCATCATCAACATTTGGTATAACAAGCAAACTCCAAAGCCCTATCCATCAAAGAATTAACATTAACATCTGGTATAAGAGGCAAGCTCCAGTGCCATTACCATCAAGGCTGACAGAGTCATCATATGGTATAACATTCAAGCTGAAATTCCTTTACCATCAAGGCTAACAGAGTCATCAACATCATCTGGTATAAAAAGCAAGACTCAGTGCCATTACCAAGACAGATAGAGTCATCATCATCCTCTGATATAACAGGCAAGCAAGTTCTGGTACCATCATCATCAAGACTGATAGAGTCATCCAGTTCACCATTAATAGGTGCGCAAGTGGACACATTAATTGACATTCATTTGATAAGGGGCAAAATATTTTTTCGATGTATAACAATTATAACTCTGTGAAGGCCTCTCCGGACTATCTCCGGAGCTGTGCAGGTCTCGATAGGGATAACATAAATTTTAGACCTCTTCTCGTTTGAGATTTTTCAGAAATTCTTGAGTTCGTGGACTTGGTCCGGCTAGATCACGAGGAATAACTTATAATTGTTGTTAAGAATTGTTAGAACACAATTATGAATCTAAAGATAATTCCATGTGAAAATATGTATGCTTATTTTTATTTTATACAATTGACTCAACTGTAGATATTGAGCATAATAAGAAAACTTGCACAGGTTCTAAATTACTTCGCACTTGCTTTGTTACAGGATGATACAAAATATACCTTTTCTCTGATACTGGCCTGGTAATTCAAACCTCTCTCTTTATATTATTGTTATTTTATGTTTTTGCATTATTGCACAAAAAATTTCATAAATAAATGTCTAAAAAGTTTGACAATTTTTAAAATTTTTGAAATCAAATTAGAATTTGAGCTAAATAAATAAAGATTTGGTGACAAAGATTGTATAAATTGACAAAGTTAGAAAAAAAAATTTAAAATTTTTTTAAATTTTTTTTTATTTTTAAAAATGATTTTTGAGGCAAGCACATGAAAAGTAATGCCTTTCGAAAGTTTTCAAATTTGCATATAAAGTTTCAAGATTAAGTCGCACAAAATGCAAATGATAAAAAATTTAATATAATTAAATAAAAAATTTGATCTTCGTAATCATATTCCGAATTTAATAACGAATTGCCATTTTTGGCTTTAAATGCGTTGTAAACGGAGAGGCGGTAAAATTTGTTTTAATAATTCACAATTATTTTCCTCTCATTTGCACTTGATCAGCCATCGAAAAAATTACATACAAACTTTTTGCATTTTACTCATCAACGCACTAAAGTAAAGGAAAAACTAACAGTAGTTTCGTTTCTGCTTACAAAAAAACAGTCAGGGGGTCCATAATTTCTACTTTTATGTACAGGGTGTTCCATAATCATCGCCCTTAATGTAGAATTTTTCGAAACCTTGTTAAAATGAAAGGGAATAAAAAGGAAAATAATAGATATCGCAGATTAATATTTAGCCTTTTGCACTACGTCGTCTCCTCTGATAGGACATCAAAAGCCATCACTCAGAAATTTAAAATTTTTATTGTTTTATATTTAATAATCGTATTATCTTATGATCGTTAGTTATTAATGAAAATATTGTACTGTGTATTTTAAACGATTAAGTGCTTACATCTGTTTAAAAAGCATATAAAAATATTAAGAAAGGAAAAAAATTGTCAAAATCTGACCAATTACTTTTGGATTAAAAACCTGCTTGATTGTCTAAGAAAACTGAGACGAGATGAGTGGTAAATAAGCCTAGTAAGAACGCCTATACAATTCTGCGGTAAATTATTATGGTTTTAGATATTTTCAACTCTACATTTCTTTAAAAGAATTCATTGAATTTCGGAAGGTATTTAGTCTTTTCTCAATTTAACTTTCAAGTATTTAATTTTTCCTCAGTTTGGGTGACAACTTTGACCAGACTGCGAAGGGATGGAGAGTGCACGATGTCAGCTTTTTAAAACTATTTTACAGTTAAGTGCTCGACTAGTACGCACTAAGGTCGTTGAGCTACCAATGCGCCGATGCCATTCCCTCTGCTGAGGATGAGAATTGATATGCTATGTCTTTGGATCAAACTTAAGGATGTTTCCCAGACCTTCGTCAATTGCTCATTGAGGAACCGTCGTGGCACGGGGGATAGAGCAGTTACCTCCCAATAAGTTTTCCCGGGTTCAAACCTTAGCGATGGTTGGTTACAACGAATTCTGCTCCCGGCTCGCCCCGACCACAGTGCTGACATAAAATATCCTCAATGTTTGACGGATCATGGGTTAGAGTCTCTTTGCCGTCAACTAACCGTGGGATGTTTTCGTGATTTTCCTCTCCATGTTACACAAATGCTGGTAATGCACATTTCTCTCAATACTTGATCCAGAAGTTCCTTTGCCCTCCAGATTGGGTTCGAAATTACAAGGCTACGGAGTTGAATCTTATTAGTCATATAAAATATATATATATATATATATTAACGNTCTATATATATCATATATGTATATATATATCATAAAACATACATATAAAGTCATTATAAAATATTCATAGCAATTCCATTTTTGTCAAAAGTAATAATCAATTGCAAATAGGAAGCATTTGCGACGAAAAAAGTGGTTATCGAGTGGCGACTCGTAGATAGTTTTTGAATTCTCACTTGTTATATTTACTCGCACCTGTGGCCAGTGGTAACCGATGATTTTGCCTTGTACAACTACTATTAATAAAGTCAACGAAATTTTATTTTAGAAATCTAAATTTATTATTTACTCTTGCAATCGCCATTGATAATTAAAATGTTTTTCTACCTAAGATGAAGGACTATTAGCATTAACAATTCTGATAGAAACACATCAAAATTAATATTTCTAACCAAAAGATTCCGTGAAGTCTATTTGAGGTGTGAACAGCTTGAAATACAACAAATAAAATTTATTACTTAATTTAATCTAATCTATAATGAATCTAATCTAAATTTTTTACTTACTATCATAGTCACTATTTAGTATGAAAACATTTTTCCACCTAAGATGAAGGACTATCAGTACTAACATTTCTGATAGAGACATCTCAAAATAAATATTTCGACCCGAAAAATTCCGTGAGGACTTTTTGAGGCGTGAATAGCTTGTAATACATCAAATAATGAGGGGATGTCATTGTATCGAAAATAATGACATTTTTATACCGAAAAGCAAATCAGATAACAAAGAATAAAAATCAATTTTTTCTCGTTTGCAAGGCAGTTTTGTTCTTCTGGAACGAAAAGACAATTATTAATCTTTTCTTCAGCTTGCAGAAAGGAATAATATTTTTTAGAAAGAATATAACTTATTTGTGGTATCAGGGAATAAAAGCTTTGAATAACAGCAGAGGTGTAATTTTTTTCTTCTTTTCATTCCACAGTTGATAGAAAATACATGTCTTTATTTCACTTAAATATAAAATATTTTAGCTTTTGTCGCAAAGTTAAATGCTCTATATGAAACAACTGCTCTTTTCTTTTTTGTTTTCGTAGAACTTTCTGCAAAAACTGGTTTTTATTGTACATAACTAGAACAAGATCAAAATAATAGCGTATTTGAATTATTAATATTATTACTTGATTTGACAAGGCTATACAAGAACTGTCGCAATTTCTATTTCACAAAAACATGAATGACAATATCAATTTCAATCATTTCCTGACCACCACACGCAAAATGTTTCAACATGATATTAATGAAAGAAATTAATCGTGAATCAAAATTTTGACCATTGTCTAATTAGCTAGAGTATTTAAAAGTTATCTGCAGCACTGTTTCAATCAACACAAGTTTCTATCCTTTCTTTATTTAAAGCAGAATGTATTGACCTAATACCATAAATGGGAATAATTATAGATTTATCAAAATCTTAATCATTTCCAGTCGAAAGGAATCAAAATTTCGCTAAATCTATAATTATAGCCATGTTTGATCTATAATTAAATAAATCTGGAAGCTTTAAATTTTAATTAGAGCACTGTACTGGATGACAGTAAAAAATTCAATCGTTTCCTGAAATCTGCTAAACAAAGTTATTACCATATTATTACCAAAGGAATTTGTCATCAATTCAAATTTCCATCACTTTCTGACAAATTAGAATATTAATTATCAACGGGAGCTATGTGATGATACCTAATGCCATTCTAAGTTTCAATTATTTCTTAAATGTGGCAACAAAATTTCTTGCCATTTAATTGCATATCGTAACTTTCACCATTTACTGACAGGACACTAAAAAGCAGAAAATAAATATATAAAATAAATTTTAAAAAAAACGACCTTTTTTAAGTACACTATTTGAAGAGGAGAAAGTAGTTTAATTTTTGTCAGACTTAACACAAAAAATTAGTGTTTTTCTTTTTATAACGCTACTTTTTTAAAAAAACTTTTACCACCGCAAATACCTTCCACTTCTTCCGAAAGTGCTGAGCCCTACATTTCCTGTTCTAGAAGTCTGACAGAAACAGAATTATTTTTTTCCTTTTCAAGAACTTGCAAAAACAAACTTTTTAAAATTGTGATTACTTGAAAACGTAGTTTTTAAAAATTTTATTTCATTTATTGCTAAAGACATAAAATAAAAATTATTGTTATCATTATTTTTTATTTACTTATTTTTTTTAAAATATGAACGTTTACTTAACAATGTTTTGGAAATAATCGCGAGATTAACTCCTTCCCTCTATTAAAAACTAAAATATAATGAAGTACATGAGTTAATTAGTATATTATTGAAATAAATTCGAACAATGACGTCAAAATGGTATTGTTGAGATATGCATTATTTCTTATTAAAGTGATGTAATAAATACAGCTAGAATCAGTTTTCACTTCAGTTATATTAAAACTATTTTTTTTTAACTCATCAAAATTTATTTTCTGAAGACAGTTTAGGCATTCAGGGATTGCAGAGTTTAGCTCCAATAATGAGGTGAGTTGTTTCATTTAATTTAAAAGTTTAGATATTTTCCCTGATTTAAGGGATCAGGCTAGAGATCATGATCTCTTTCTCTCTCTCTCTCTGTTCTTCAAATATCCTAAATCTTAAGATCAACAAAAACTCAATCAGAGCTGGAAGCTCTCAAATTTTGAATTATTGCACAGCATCTCACGAAACGTTTTTTCAGAAAACTTAAAAAACGTATTTATCGAAGCTATATTTATTTCGGTCGGATTTATTACTCGAAAAAACTCTCATCGATCGACTTTTAATTTTAAATGTATTTAAAGTCGCATTATTTACAGAAAATATACAGAATTATTAACATTTATTGGACATTTTTATTTAATTTTTTTATTAACAAATTTCTGACGTTTTTCCTAAAAACATTTTTTGTTAAAGACATGAGTTATTTTTACACATATTAGTACATAAAAATATTCTTACATTATCTTTGCATTTATAATCAATACAAATAAAATTGCTTTTAATTCTAATTTTTTTTCTTCTTCCGATTCCACACTGCCCACCTGCGTTAACATTTCGTCAATTCAGGCATTTTACAGGGCAGATTTGTTGGCCACTTCTTCAGGGGCACCTTATTAAGTGGGCCAACGTTGCTCCCACAGTAAGGACAGAGAGTACAGAGAATGAAAGAACATCAATGTCTTGCCCGGGATTCGAATCCAGAACCTTTCCGATGAAAGGCCAGTTCCCTGACCTCTACACAGTCCGGCACAGCTCAACCTAAAAATAACGGATGCTGATGTTTAAAATGAAAGGAGACTGCATACATTTTTATTGACTTAATCAATAAGAAAGTATACAGCCGCCATTTTAATTTGTGACACTTTGGAAAAAATTACTTTTTTACTTAATCAATTTTTTAATAAAGGATCTTTTTCAGAATTTTGATATATTGCATGGATTGCTGAAAAAAAAACACACCATATTATAACCATTTTTTCGTCACTAGAGTATCCTTAAGCTAAAATAAGTTTGTTTCAATTTATCTGGCGTGATTTAAAACAAACGACTGTTTTATTTCTTGTAAAAAGTAGATACTAGTTTAAGTTTTCAGTAATTGCTAATCACTTTTTAAAAAATCTTTTCAGTGTTGTTGTGATTGATAATGGTACCGGATTTTGCAAAGCTGGATTTGCAGGAGAATCGACTCCCTCAGTTGAGTTTCCATCAGTAGTAGGAAGACCAAAATACATAGTAAGGAATCCACAAAAATTGCTTTAAATCACTTTCCAAATTTTTAGTTAATTTTATAAACTTTGTTCTAATTATTAATGAATAAGCATTACTTTTGAAAAATTATGCTTTAACCCAATGTCGCTTTATCATTTTATTCGATTATTTGGTTTTAAAATATTTCAAAGATACCAAATATGCCTAGATAAAAGTAAATTCGTTCTTTTATTGGATCGATAATAAATACTACTTTTTTTGGTGAAAACATTCTGTTGAGAACAGAAGTGAACATATGTACCTCTTTTCGTCAGGTTAGTGGCACTATAAATTATTCGGGTAAACATGGAAGCAAATTCTAGCTAATATATTCAATTATTCTTTATTTCCTAAATAAGTTTTTTGGGAATATTATAGAGACTTATTTCTTTTTCTTTTGATGATAAAGTTCATCAACTTATTTACTTTCTTAATTATTATTAATAATTTTTTTCTAAATTTTCAAATTTTTTAAAATTTTTTTTATGAAACATAAATTTATTGTACTTGAAAAATTATGTTATTTTTGTGCCTTAAGAGTTTTATTCCACAAAAAAAAGAGTATAAAAATATTTTTTCCACTTTATTTGAAAAAAATAAGATCTTCATAATTAAGTGGTTAAAATAAGTTTTAAAACTAAAATATCTTGCTATCGTCTTTACAATTTTAAACTTTATATTAATTAGCAAGAAATGAAAAAAAACATACCTTGTCTGTATTTTAATCCATACTAACCAATCCACTAATCCAATAATCCAAATTAAAAGAAAACAATTCTTGTAATTAAGTCATGATTATGAGTGAGGAAAAAAATGAAATTAATTAACTTAAAAAATATGACTTCGAGATTTGGTAACTTGATACAGATGACATGTAAACGTTGTAAAAGAATTTAGCTGATATTAAAAAAAGTATTATGGGATGAATAAGAGCGGGCAAAATATTGCATGGCTTGTTTTTTTTGTCAAAAATTTGCCTCGATATTTCTTGTCTGAAACTCGAACGAAAATAATCTCTCGCAACATTATGCAGGTTAATCATCTCATATCACGCTACAATGAATACATATAAAATACAATATAGCGCAATATAAGTAAGATTTTAAATTAAAATGGACTTTTTGATATTAAATTTTGTTAATTTAAGTATTGTCAGGATATTTCTTGATTTTAATACATTTACAATCATAGTCTTACGTCAGTTTTTTTCTTTTCTCTTTATCATCTAGCCAGTGGTGGTAGGACTGAAATATCGAAACATGTATATTGGAGGATCGGCACAGGCAAGAAGAGGTATGCTGCATTTATCCTATCCTATACGTCAGGGGATTGTGCACAGTTGGAGGGATTTGGAGACGATATGGGATCACACTTTTAACCATCTTTTAGAAACAGATCCTCAAGAACAAGCTGTCATTGTATCAGAAGCACCGAAGAATCCACTTCGAAATCGAGAGAAAATGCTTGAGGTAAAATTTTTAAAATGATTATCAAAAAGTTTAGCTGAAAAGAATTCAATGGAACAATTTTGGAAAAGACATAATTCTCGGGATAAGATTATTTTTTCTCGGGGAAAGATTTTAGTCCTATTTATACAACATTGATTCATAAGAAAAAAAATCCTAGGAAGCATTTTCATTACCCGCAGCTGCCGTGCCTCTAATTACCGTAGAGCAATGTTTCCCAAAATGTGGTGAGCGTACCCCCAAACTAAAATAGTTTAATGGGAGTATCTTGCAACAAACGAAAATTTCAAAAATTTTTATTTGAGAACAAAGCTAGCCATGAAAATTTACTACTGCGTATTTTTCTATTGGCTCTTTTTTTCAGAGTTAACAGTTAATAATTAGTGGTGTTAACAGCTAGTTGTGAATTAACTTTTGTAAAAAAAATTTTACAGTAAAAATACATTCATTTTTTTAGTGGTGCAAAGCGTTATGAGAAATTTAGAAAGGGTACACAAAAGTCATAAGTTTGAGAAACACTGCCGTACAGCGAAAAAAAAGAGCCTGATTGGTGAGTTTTTCGCCTGAAAATATACTTCACCAATCAGGTTCTCATATTTCCTCCACCGTGACTGGAGGCGCGTGAACTACATGCGGTGAAAATGGCCCTTATTTAACTATACGACGTATGGTCCTTACATTTGTTCTTGTTGTAGTTCATTTACGTCACGCTAGAGCTGCACAATGGGCTATTGGCGATGGTCTGGAAAACATCCCTGAGGATGATCCAAAGACATGCCATCACAATTTTGATCCTCAGCAGAACGGATGGCACACCTTCGGTAGCCCGACGACCTGCACGCGAAGTCGAGCACTTTACGGTAGAACAGTTTAACAAGGACCAATACCGCACATCCTCGGTCCCTAAGCACAGTCGGATCCAAGTGGTCACCCACGCACACACTGACCGCAGCCAGTGATGCTTGACTTCGCTGATCTGAGGGGAACCGTGTCTTAACGATCAGTCCACTGCGGGACTTTACATTTCACAGATCTCGATGAATGAAGTTACTAGGTGATTATCGAAAGCTTTCAAAATGTAAGAATGTTCCAATTACATTATGCAACTGATACTTGACGAGTAAAGGCCTGGTTTCTTAGAACTAGCGCCTTATCTGAGCGTCAGCGGAAAGTTGATGTAGAGCTGACACCAAAAAAATACTTTTTTGTTAGCTCAGCGTGAGCAGTCGGTCCAACGCAGACATTATCTCTCATTGCGCATGCGTTAATAACGGAAACAAATATTTATTTTGAATTTGTATTGATTTTGTTATTGTCGACCAGTGTTTTGGAGAACAAATAATGACTTTGTCCAAGAAAAAACATATTATAGCTGAGCTAAATGAAGAGTGCTATGTTTAATGAAGAAGCTATGTTTAATGTCAAAATCAAAATCTTGGCTGATTTCAATGTGCTGTTGGATGCTGTCCGCCATTGCTTCTGTGGTTAACGTCACGTTGTAATCCAACTGCAGTTGAGTTGGACGGCAATTGTAGTTCAAGATGAGCGTTCGATGACGTATACTATCAAACTTACAAATGGACCAATCAGAGGTTAGCGCTGATTTCCATCTAACGGCGTCCTGTCCTAAGAAACCAGGCCTTAACATTAAAAAGACTGTTGACAGCAAATAAAATCTCCATGACACGAGCAATTTACACTAACATGTTAGGGAATTATACAGGATGTTTCAAAAATTAGCTGACAAATTCGGAGGGTGATAAAACTTTCAAGAAGATGAAATTTTATCCTTACACATGGGGTCCTAAACTACATTGAGAGGGCGGATATCGTGGAAAATCCATGCAGTTCTGGTATCAAACTGAAATATATTCATAAAAGATGCTAAAATATTTATTTGATGAATTATTACAAGATATATTTAAAGTTGTGCCCTCTGACATCAAAGCACATTCTATAACGGCATAAAAATTATTCCCGTTAAAAATGATGTGGTCATGGTGTGTGCCGAAGCGTGATTTTAGCGTGCGTCTTTCGTGATTGTGAACCTTTCAATGGGATATGCGATCCCACGTTCTATGGTAATTTTGGATCCTTTTGATGTCTTTTATTACCCCTCTGAATTTGCCGTTATCGGAATACTCTGTCGTTTGGGTCAAGTGGAAGCTTACAGATGACAGATAAATGCAAATTATAATCTTTATTTCCTATTGTCAAAACAAAAGTAAACTTTAAGGCTAATTTACTCATATTTACTAAAATGCATAGAACCTTCATCCAGTCAGATCTTTGAGTCTTTCAGTTGTAAAAGCCGTTAAGCACTATTCAGATCTTTCATTCAAAACTATAACAGAAGATATTTTATGCCTTTGTAAACTTTATATGTAATTTACTCAAATTTACTAAAATGTCACTTAAAATCTTCATCTACACAGCTCTTTATTTGAGTTTTTCAGTTGCATAAGCCATTAAGCGCTAATAAGATTTGCCTCTCAAGTCTATAACAAAAACTATTTTGGTACTTCAATTAGATTAACTTTGCTTTATTTTGATTGCTAAATTACTTGAATTTGTCTCTTAGCTGTTCAATATATTCGCTAATAAAGTCTTTCAATCAAATCTATGACAAAAGATATTTTCTCTTCCAGTAAAATAAGTTTGGGTTTAACGAATTTTGCAACAGAATAACTCAATTGAATGCATTGTTAAATAAGCATTTCAAAATATAAATTTTTTTCTTTTTGCATAAAAATACTGTATTAGTATCATATATCAGATTTATTGTATTATATTTATAGATACTGTTTGAAAAATTTAAATGTCGTGGAGTTTTCGTAGCGATTCAAGCAGTTTTAGCCCTATATACGAGCGGGCAAACTACAGGTGTGGTCCTTGATTCAGGAGATGGCATTAGCCACGCTGTACCAATCTATGAAGGTTACGCAATCCATCATGCTGTTTCTCGAATGGAATATGCTGGTAGAACACTGACCGATTATTTGGCCCAACTATTAACAGAAAGAGGATACTATTTTACAACATCAGGTAAAAAAAAAAAGAGATAAAAATTTTTTATAGATCAGCTTAGATCACATAATATTTGGGGGTATATTTTAGATCACATAATATTTATTTGTGTAATTAATAAAAAAGAGCTGAATGGAAAAAAGTAAATTCAAACATCTCTTTCCTGTTAAAATTCTAGCACAAGGCAGGCTCTAGGCACAAAACTGTTAGGGCCCCCTTGGTCGTTACTTTATACTAAATTTACATGTTATTTTATTACAGAGTGCTTTTAAATTATTTATAACAGAAGTAAATTACGATGTATTAGTAAATTTCAGCATATATTTTTTTCAATTTTTGTTAATTTAAAACTGTAATAGGTAATTTTTAAGGAAAAACACAAAATTAATTATTTGTAAACTTTGGACGGCACCCAGGAATGTGGGGGCCCCAGACCTAGGCTTCTCAGACCTTACTGTACTAAAGTCGTAACTGGCACTAATATTAATATTTATTTAAAATTAATATAAAAAGATTTTTACAATTTTCTCCAACGGTTCTTCGTTCCGTCAAATAATCTCCAGTCGAAAAAAAAGCCTGTTCATAAGCTTGAGCGAGAGAATAAAGTTTTTTTTTCTTTTTTACGGAACGCAATGCATTTCTTTTGCTTAATGCATCGATTATTACATACATCTGTATTTCTATTTAATGCTTCTTTTACAAAGTTCTCAGCAATATTTTGATTTTTTTCATTCCTATTTTGTAAATATACACAATTAGAAATCTATATTTAAAATTTATGTCATGCAAAATACTAGTTTTATTATTTTTGAAATTTTTTTTTATTTTGCAGCTCCATTTTTTGTAGAAACAAAAAATTACTCCATTAATTAATACATTCTCAAAAAATTGCCAAAAAAAGAATGATTTTATCTTCAGAGGTATACAATATACAGGGATAGCACTCAAATCTTTTATTTCTATACATAAAATCATTACGTCATCAACTCGCCAAGCCCAGCGGTACAACAATGATAATAATACTAAAATAAAATGTTCAATAATAGGCAGATTTAAGAGCACTTTATCGGTGAATGAGCATGAAACATTCAAAACAATGGTGAGGGAAGGAACCACACCAAGTAGGTGCTATATTTGAAATATAACTTATGATTGTTATGCACTGAGAGAAATGAGGTCGAAGACACAGCCAAACCCCATTTTTAAAAACAGTAATATAGAATGGTATAGAGTTGTTTAAATTAACCTAATATTCTCAAAATTCTTTTAATTGAAAGGCATGAGTGGCCATATTCAAACACAACTACAGGGCAACAATTATTAAACTATGCGAAATAAAAAGTAAATTATTCAAAAACTACTGAGTGCACAAACTTTATTCAACATGTAAACGCTGCTACATATATTTTATAACCGTCATTTAACAGCCGGCCCAATTTTCGGGTTTACGATTACTAATGTTCAATTCCGTAGCCTTGTAATTTTAATCCCAATCCAGAAGACAAGGGAACTTCTAAATCAAGTATTGGGTGAAATTTACCTTCGTGGTTTTGATGGAACTAGCTCGCATTTGCGCTTTATGGAGAGGAAAACCACAAAAAATGTTCTGACGGCAAGGGGACTCTAACGAATGATCCGAAAAATACTAACGATATTTTACATCAGCACTGTGGTCGGTGCGAGCCGGGAGAGGAATTCGTATCGACCAGCCATCGTTGGGATTTGAACCTGGTTCACCTCATTGGATGGCGAATGCTCTATCCCCTGAGTCACCACGGTTCAGCTACAAATATTCGCATTTAAGTTGTGACATGTTTAATATGCTTGCCATCATTGGCTGATGTAACGCAGACGAATGGCTAAATTCTGACTGACCCGCTGAAGTGTCGGAACATCGATGCTGTCGACGACCTCCTGAATGGCAGTTTTCAGCTCAGCAATATGATCTTATGGGTTATTTCAGTACACATTATCTTTTATATAGCCCCTCAAAACTAAGTCTCATGTGTTCAGATCCGGAGAATAGGGCTCCAAGCGAATCTTTTTCCAGTGGTCTTTAGTTACACCAGAGTCAGAATGCGGACCCCAAAGTGCTCCCCCAGGATATCAAACACTCTCTTAGTCCGATTGGGTCGAACTCAGTCTTGCATGAACTACATCTTGTCGAAATTGGGGGCACTTGGTGTAAAGGGGATGAAATCATTTAATAAAACCGTCACGTATCGCTTAGTAGTTACCATGCGGTCAACGATTATCACCCTAATTATTTCACGATTGGACATTACACACCATACAGTCACCCGTCAAGGGAAAAGACTTTTTAATCGAGAAATACGGATTCTCAGTCCCCCAAATGAGCCAATTTTGCTTATTGACCAACCCATCCAAGTGAAAGGGGGCTTCATCGCTAAACCAAAACATATTCACATCAAATTTCTGTTCGTCAATTCTCTCGACCATAGCTGTGGTGAAATACATTCGCTCTTTCATCGCCATGGGGCTTAATGGCTGATGGCATGCAAGTCTTTAGCAACAATGTCGCAAGGTCTCCTGGTCGTTTCCCGCTTGTTGTGCAGCTCGTCTGATCGATTTTCTTGGACTGATTTGAAACACAGCGAGTGTCATCGCGATGTTTTCCCGCTTGTTTCTCGACCGACTTTGCTAGCACTGTCATCACATGCACTACCAGTTCTATCAAACTTGCGAATCAAATTCCTGATTAGTGGAAAGGTTTTCATCAGCTTGTACTCGGTCATAAACTTCCTTCGAGCAGCAAACTGGTTGTTATTCCTCACATAATAGGCCCTTCCAAGCGATATACGCTCAAGCACACTCTACCGTGACATTTCCACTTGCAAATGGTCGACAACAAAAAGTTGCATCATGCCCTGGGACCAAATACGAAGAGTTTGAACTTCATCACGCAAAACGCTCTAAGTTATGACAGCTTTATTTCAATAATTGTCACACTGTATATGCTTTATAAATTATATTAGTTCAATATACTTCTTTATGTAGCCGAATCAGAAATAGTAAGAGATATAAAAGAATCTTTATGCTTTGCAAGTGAAGACTTTATAGAAGATAAAAAATCTTGTGCCAAAGATGTGTCTGCTTTTGAAAAGAGATACACACTGCCAGATGGTCAAGTGCTGAGAATCGGATCTGAAAGATTTCGTTGTCCTGAAGTTCTATTTACGCCCTCGCTTCTCAATCTTGAGGATCCTGGTTTCCATGTAAGATTTTTAAACATATTGTTTGTAACATTGTAATCACTAGCTAAATTTTTTAAAATGAAAAATAGATTGAATATAAAGTTAAAGAAGCAATTAGGTTACTTTTAATAGTATAAAAATAAATACGCTACTAATATTATGTAGATATGTAATTAAATTTTTTTTTTTTCAAAACGAGAAATACATGCAGTACAAAATTTTTGATGATCACATCACAAAATTTATATTGTTACTGGCAATGCCCATCTAAAGAGAGAGAGAGAGAGGACGATAGCTGTCAATGAATCACCTCCATTATTATTATTAGTAGTAGTAGTATTATTATGATTATTTTATAACCGTAGTTAAACAGCCGACCCCTTTTTTTGGTTTACGACTGCTAATGCTCAACTCCGTTTCCTTGTAATTTTGAATCCAATCCAGAAGACAAGGAAACTCCTGGATCAAGTATTGGGAGAAATTTGCCTTAGTGGAGGACTTTTCGATGGAACTTACCGGCATTTGCGTTACATGGAGAAGAAGATCACGAGAACCTTTCACGGTTTGCCTGACGGCAATGGGACTCTAATCCAAGTTCCGTCTACCACTTAGGAAGTTTCACGTCAGCACTGCGGTCGGTGCAACCCGGATGCGAAATTTGTATCGACCAGCCATCGCTGGGATTCGAACCCGGTTTACCTCATTGGAAGTCAAACGCACAAATCCCTGAGCCATCGCGGCTCAAAATATAATACTTTTCGTCCGCGACAGGATGAAAAGTATTATATTTTGTGGATGAAATAAAACGCTAAGTATAAACTTAACATGTCCCGCAGGCGTATTGACAAAACATACCGTAGATTGTAAACGCGGCGATTGCAGGTGGAATTGGCGATGGATTACGCGTAAATGTGGTGGGAGAACGAAATTACATTAACCTAAACAGTGTAATTCGATATTCTTTTTCTCCTCCTCGTCTAGCCATAATGAATAAAAATAACTAATTAATTCTTTTTAAAAGAGAATTAAAAAAGAAAATAACCTTTTTATTATCAGGATCACTTTACAAATACACTGTATTCATATTTTATTAAACGCTATAATTTATATTTTATAAAACGATCTAGTTTTTTGATATAACAGATTCAATTTTTTTACAAGAATTGTGTTTGCGAAGAAATAAAAATAATTTACTACTACTGAACCAATCACAAAAAATAACATAACATTTTAATGCTATGTTTTATTGAAACGCTATTTTGAAGAATTAATTCTATTTAACTTTTATTGTAAGAAAACATAACCTGTTTTATTTTAGTGATATTTTCTATGAAATCAATATTCTCTATAAAAGAATAATGTAAGCTTTTTTATAAAGATTATTTTTTTAGAAATTAACAAAGACATATTATTTACTAGAAAAAAAATAGAGTATTCAAAAATGTTATCACGCTTTAAAGTAATAGTTTCTTGTAAACGAAATAATCAATATTTTTAAAATAAAGTTTGAAAGCGTTTGTTTCATTACTAGAAGCATTCATTATAAAAAAATTATATATTAAATTACTTTTTTGCATAATTTTATGAAATAACTTTTTTTTGGAATGAGATGAGATTTTAAACTTTGTGAAAAATTGATTCAATTCCTTAATATATATAAAAGTCGGTAAATACTTCA